GGCTCAGATTCTCGACGACAAGCACTGCGCTGGCAGAATAATGTCACGATTGCCGCGTACGGCAGCCCAACTTATGGCGGTCTTACCCGACCAACATGGTGTCGTAATCCACTGAGTCTCTGCTTGGAATTCTGAGTCGACCTCCATCCGTCCGCGCTGCTTCAAGCAATAGATTTCCTAGTGTACCACTTGCGAGACCAAAGCTTTCATAGACAGGCAGGCACCCGGCGACCGTACGTTGGCGGCCTTTCTATGCAAGATCACAGTGTATGCAAGCACCCGACGCTGCATCGTCGTTGGTCTCGCGAGTCCTAGTAACGTTAGCTATAGAGCGGCGATGAGGAGAGCCAGGTGCAAATATGTCGAGCTGCTTGCATCGACTCGGAACTGGCCAAAGCAGCACTATTCATACGTATTGCTCTACGTGTGCTCTTCACGATGTCGATGCGGGTATATACCGAGTCCAACACTGTGCATGTACTACGTAGTACTAGTAGTCAATCGTCGCGCGTGAACAGAGCCGTACGTGGCTTCAACGCATTGTTCCTCTCGCAAAGTATAGACTCAATAGGGACACCTCGCTGTTGCCGAGTGTAGATGGATTCGTCAAGGAAACCGATAGAGCCAACGTGCAAAAGACTATTTTGTTTCCATGATAAATAAGTGGCGTGTTGGCGGATTAAGTTAGATGCGTGTGTGTCTGCGCGAGTTTTAGTACAAGGCGCTGAAGGACCATTCAACGTTCTTGCCCGCGAGCTTCTCGGTATGGTACTCAGCAAAGGTGTGGGCTTCGCCAAGCGCGACCGGGCGGAGCTGCATCTCGTGCAGGGGCGCGACAACGTCGACGGGGGCCTTGACCGGCTCGTCGGTCGACGCCACGGCGTTTTTCATTGCCTGGATTGCGCGCTGGATGCCCTCGAGGTACACTGCGTTCGACTTGCAGTCGACCGAGCAGTAGTTTTTAGCGGGGCTGAGCGCCTTGAGAAAGACGTGCTTGCAGTTGGCGCACGTCTGGCGCTTGTCGTCCCAGGTCGGCGCCTTCATGGCCTCGTACGAGGCAGTGCAGGCAGCGACTTCTTCAACGTCCATCAGCATCACCGGCGCGTCCGAGGTCGACGGCACGAGGTTCTTCACGAGCGCGTTGAAAAAGGCGAGCATGTTGTGTCGACGGTGCTGGTGATGAGCGAAATTGAGAAGTGCGTTGGGAGGTGGCCTCTTTGAAACAGGCTCCGTAAACCACGTGGCGGGCTAAAAATGTGTATACACGTGGCAGCCTCAGCGACTCAAGAAATAGCACCGCCACCTGGCACGAAAAGAAGGCCGCCGTTCGCCACCTTGTTCTAGCTTGGCGATCGAAACGCATGGATTTTGTACACAGTACGTGTGCGCGACAAGGTGAAACACGCCAGCCAATACAAACATCAAGACACCCAGTTGACGTGGACCTGCTACGGTATGCATTTGACGCCCTCACCTTGTCAACACATCGCCCTGGCTCGCCGTTACAAAACCCGCGCACACCATTTGGGCACCGCCACCTTGCCGCTCGGAGACGCTGCCATAAGAAGCTAGGTTACTCATGGGCGACAGCGCTGCTGAACGCAAAGCTGCGATGGCAGCTTGCTCGTGATACCTTTTTCACGAGCAAGCGGTTGCAAAGCCGCGAGGCTGTACAGTCCAACGCTCTGATGTAGCTGCTGTAGTGTTGTCAACAGTACACGCTCGATAGCTCGTTCTTTGTGCTGCCCGATGGACGATTCGTCCAGTGTAGTCGTACGAGGTAGCGAGAGTACGGTCTACAGAATCTCGGGATATGTTGGCGATACGACAACACGGGCGTGCGGAGTTTCGCCAGTGTCGCTCGCTCTCTAACTGGTGTCCCAAGATCGTCCAAGCATGAGTCACGGCCACATACACACAAGGCAACGGAAGACTATGCAAACGTCGCGCCGAGACTGGCATTACGCACTTCACCGAGCTCGGCGCAGCGAGGCACTTTTTGTGGACCGTTCGGGGCAAGTTCCCAAGCCCGCACTGTGACACCAAACCAAGCGCCACCTACGTATATAATCCCGATGCAGGGTACCCCAGGCGTAGAGCCCTATCTGTTGAAGTGTCTTTTGAACCGTCTAGTGAATTGAAGCGCAACGTCACAATACCGAAACTGTCTGCTGTGCAAACAAAAGCTGCAAACGAGGTTCCCAGACCAAACGCTCAAGCTGCTACGAAAGTACTACGTACTATAAGACGTGTACCGATACCGGTATGACTGGGACCAGTTCGCTCTTCTCTTCCACGTGGCCAGAATTGTGATTTTTAGCTTTTAGCAGGGGTAGGGATTCAAATATCTGACGTGGCAGCGCCTGCGACGCTTTCCGTGTCCAGCGATGACCTCATCAGTGACGAATCATTGGCGTACAGTACACGTGTTCCTTTTCGTTTTGCTACGTGTGTTGCTTGAAGCCGCAGTAGGGCCTGCTTGATGCAGCGTGCCGGCGCTCTCAGAGCCGACAGTATGCGGTACCAACGCAGTCACATCCAAAACCGCCCATCGCGCCCATCGATGGGTATCGTGCTCACCTGGGCGCTTACTGTATGACTGTTCGGATCATTCCGTCGCTGACTTGAGCGCGCTGTATGCTTATGAAATATTCATACCTAGCCGAGAGTGCGTACCGGTACCTCAAAGGAGCCGTCAAATGACATGGCTTCGCTGGCCACGACGCTTTCTCCAAACCGAGCCTTCCGTAGTAAGGTCGACTTAATATATGTAAAAGGTTCACGTGGACCCGTGGGTGCCGTCTGTAAAAGGTGGTTATGAAAAATGCCGTCATTTGTGACGACGCGCGGCGTCCATGTGTCCGTCCATCTCTCGGTGAGCCAAACGTGTACGAGCCGTCCATTTTTCACGTGCCCTTTCCACGCCACGTCGCCCCAATATAC